GTGTTTAGAGGAATTTGGTAAAGTAAGGGATGGGAACTGGAATGAAGTATTGGAGTTTGAGAAAGGTTTTGCAAGTAAAGAAAAATTGGGGATCCAGTGTCTGAGGAAATTAATAAAGCGGAGAAAGGAGAGGATTTGATCAGCAGTTTTTTGAGGCTTTTAATGGCTATGTGCAGACTGACTGTTAGACTTCTAGTGGTGGGAGTTAATTGAAAGCTGGTATTTGTGACTGTGAGGAGAGACAGTTGGGCCTTGGAAGGGGATACTCTGTATCCTTTAGAGGCCAAGAAGTTTGAGCAGTGTGAGTGTGGGACTGCACACCAAAAGATTGATTGATTGATTGATTATTTATCTATTTATGATAAGACGTTTATAGGAAAGTAGGCAAGTAATGATGGTTTTTAAGCTTCTGCAGTGTTGTGTGGAGACAGGGAATGAGGTTTAGTAGGAAAAGAAGAGGAGTTCTTTAGAGTAACGAAAACAGGTTGGTAGTGAGAGGTTACAGATGAAGTGGAAAGATACTATATGATAGGGTTGACATTGCCTGGTGAGTGATACGAGGCTTGGAGGGAAGACTATTAATCCTTATTACTGAGACCTGGGTAGGGAAAACAGAACCCGAGAAAGAAGGGAGTACTGAACAGGTAGCTCTTGTGCTAATCAGAAAGGAAACTGGTTTGCTTGGTACCTGAAGGTTACCTTGGGAGCTTAAGAGTGGTGAGGGTTGTTGAACCTGGGCATCTTTAATCCTCCGCAGTTAGGCCTAGAAGGTCGATAGGGACTGGATCTGGTGGAGGGACTGACCTTCTCCGACTAGGCGCTGAAGGGTAATCAACCTTCCAATGACAACCCATTGTCCTACAGATTGGGCAAGGCCTTGTTAGAGGTTGAGGGTTTGGGCAACGGTGAGCCCAATGACCCTCTTTGCCGCATCTGAAGCATGCCTCAGGAGGTAATTGGCTCTTTGAAGGAGCACTAGTCCTCTAACCCTTCACCATTGCTGGCCATAAGGCAACCAGGAGAGTCTGGGCTTGTAGATTCACATTCTGTCAGGCTCGAGTTTTTTCTGCCAGTTTCTTTCGGGCATTGGAACTTTAAAGGCCCACCAGGTCTCTAATAGGGTGTTTGGAGGTGAGTGAGGTGTTTGGAGGTAG